TGCGGTGGCTCACATTTAATTTCCCAGGCACTCTTTGGTGAGGCTGAGACGCGCAGGCATTACCTGAGTTCAGGAGTTAAGGACCAGCCTGGCCAACGGTGAAACCACGTCTCTACTAAAAATCAAAAAAAAAAATTAGCCAGCCATGGTGGCACATGCCTGTATACCCAAAGTTGTCGGACGACGCTGAGGCAGGGAGAAATTGCTTGAGCCTTGGGAGACAGAGGTTGCAGTGAGCCAAGATTGCTCCACTGCATCCAGCCTGGCCACGAGCAAGACATCTCAAAAAATAAATAAATAAATAAATAAAATAAATAAATAAATAACAAATAATAAAATAATAAAAGACTGAATAGAGGGCCCTAGCTCACGGTTCCATTGGTCATTCTGCAAGCAAGGGGACTGGCAATTTGAGAACCCTAGGCATTTATTCTGGAGTTCATTGTGCCAACCACAAACCTTTGGGCCTACCCACAAGGAGGAATGGATTTTTACTCAATGGAAAAAAAAACTTGGCCTCCTCTTTCATAATGAAAATAGGATAGAAGAGGCTGGGTGCTGTGGGGTCACGCTGTAATCCCAGCACTTTGGGTAGTCAAGGCGTGGGTGGATCACTTGAGGCAGGAGTCAAGGACCCAGGCCATGGCCAACATGGTGAAAACCCATCTCTATGGAAAATACAAAAACTTAGGCCAGGGTTGGTATGGTGGCACATGCCTATAGTCCTAGCTGCTCAGGAGGCTGAGGATCACTTGAACGCGGGAGGTGGAGGTTGAAGTGAGCTGGGATTTTGCAACTACACTCCAGCCTGTGCAACAGAGCGAGACTCTGTCTCACAAAAAAAAGGAAAGAAGGAAGAATACCTCTGGGATCTTGCTCTAGTCAAGTCCTTTATTTTAGTAGAGACGGTGTTTCACCATGTTGGTCAGGCTGGTCTCGAACTCCTGACCTCATGATCCACCCGCCTCAGCCTCCCAGAGTGCTGGGATTACAGGCGTGAGCCACCGCGCCCAGCCCCCAGGTATATTTCATACAGTGTATAAGAGAAGATGAAGATGAGAACTTACGGGAGACTAGTAAGATCCTGCAGAGGAAGTCTAATGAATCCTATAAAGAGATTTTTTTTTTTTTTTTAACACTCAAGATTTTTAATCCTTGCCCTGGAATAGCAATGTAAGTGACTTCTCTACAAAAGTTTATACAAGTCTTTCTTGCACTGAGTGTATTCTGAATTGAACGAGTTTTCCTGCAGGATCTACGCCTCACCCTGTTTGGGACAGGTACAGGCAATAGTGAACAGAAGAGAGCAGTGCCTCTGGAATGCAACTGCCATAGTTCAAATATCAGTCCTGACACTTATTAGCATGCACCTTGGGCAATTTACTTAGTCTCCATCCTTTAGTTTCTTCATCTGTAAAATGGGATTAATAATGACATTCCAATACCTAGCTCACTGATTTGTTGTAAACATTAAATAATGTCAAATAAACCACGTGCCTAGAACAGTGCTCAGCAGAGTAAACCTCTTACAAAAGACGTTGGGCTGCCTACTAGTCCTCACTACAGGAAATGGCTTTCCCATATGCATTTGGTGACATAGTAAGAGGCCCAGAGATCTTTTAGTGCAGTAGTCTCAAATTTCAGTGTGTATCAGAATCATCCGGACGGCTTGTTAAAACACAAATTTCTGGCCCACCCTCCCAGAGTTCATCATTCAGTAGCTGTGCGCTGGGAGTCAGAATCTGTATGTCCAACAAGTTCCCAGGTGATGCTGATGCTCCTGATCTGGGAACTATGCTTTGAGAACCATGCTCCAGTCCACATTCTCTCTCTCTCTCTCTCTCTCTCTCCCCCCCCCAGCCTTTATTTTTTATTTATTTATTTTTTGAGGCAGGGTCTCACTCTATCACCCAGGCTGGGTGCAGTGGTACGATCACAGCTCACTGCAGGCTTGACCCCCCGGGTTCAAGTGATCCTCCCACCTCAACCACCCAAGTAACTGGGACTACAGGCATGCACTAACATGCCTGACTAATTTTTCATAGTTGTTTTTTGTAAAGATGGGGTTTCACCACGTTGCTCAGGGTAGTCTCAAACTCCCAGGCCCAAACGATCTGCCCACCTTGGTCTCCCAAAGTGCTGGGATTACAGGCATGAGCCACTGCACCCAGCCTTCATCTGTATTCTCATTCTACAGACATGAAAACTGAGGCCCAGACCAGCTAAGCATTTTGACCATGGGCACTCAGAGCCACAGTGGAAACCAGAAGAAAACTGATTCCCAGGCCAGTGCTCTTTTGCTTCTGCTCAGTCAGAGGTGTGAGGTTCTTTGAGACAGTGGCCGGCTGCAGGCCCCTGGACAGATCCGCACCTTCATAGCTGTGTGAAGGAGAGTTCCCACATTGGCATAGCAGCCGCTGAGGAGCTGGTTTCCTGCCATCCACTTGAGAGCATCCTGGATGTTCTTGGGATCAATGAAGATGAATTTCCGAGCTTGGCCAAAGCATTTCGTGACAAAGGCTGTCAGCCTACATGGGTAAAGAGGAAAATGTGGCATGAAGGTGAATTTCCAGGTGAGGGTGCTATCATTTTTTCATGTATTTGGGTGCATACTTCCAGAAGGGGAGCTGAGGGAACATATGCCACAGCAGGCCTAGAAAACAGAGGCATGAACGGGCCCCAGTGAAGACAAGAACAGGGGAGGCACAAGCTCAGGGAGAAGATCGAGGGACTTGACCATCCATGAGGGTGAAATAAGCAGTATTAAAGAGGTAGAAGACTGAGTGCAAGAAGGAATAGGGTTAAGGGGAGAGGTATTGGAATAGTTCCAGAGGGCTCAGGAATTATGCGCTGGAGTACACAACTCATTGGGAATTGGGCGATATTACCATGTGTTTCCATTTCCATCTCGCTCCCCAAAGGCACTGTATGAGCCATTGCTGTGTTTGTATGTCAGCTCCTTCTGGTACCCTGGGGAGCCAAATGTGGTTTTAGATCACAGTGACAACTTCAAAAAACACCCCCGTGCTTTTCAAGGATATGGGACACTTCAGGGGCTGGAATTCCCTGTATCTTATCAATCTGTCATAGGGCCTAGTGGAGGAGAGTGTCCAAGAAAGAAAGATTGAACCAACTTACCTATCTCCAGGAAACCCACTGCCCGAGACCTGATTTCCTCCGTCAGCAGCCCTGCCTTCTCCAGGTACTGCAAGACATAGATGATAGGAGCAAACAACACCATGTTCTGCTCGCCACAGCCACTGGGCATCTGCACCAGACCATCTAGGTTCTGCAGGGCTGTGCCCATAATGTCTCCTGGGATCCAAGAGGAGAGAGAGAAGGTGGGGGTACAGAGAAGAAGGAACCCTCTAAGAGTTATCATCATTCACTTAACAATCATGTATTAGCTATCATTTAGTAAGTACCTACTATGTGCCCTGGGAAGACAACAGTAAATCAAACTGTCTCTACCCTCAAAGAACTCACAGAGGAGGAAACCATTACAACACATTACAATTTTTATTCATTACAGACAATTTTCATACAGTACTACAATATCATACTGGATATGTAGGAGGTGCTAGAGGACACAGAGAGGTGCATAGGCTGTCTAAGAGAGTTCAGGGCTTTTAAGAAGACAAGTCACTGAACTGATGAGTGAGGTGACAAAACTTGTATCACTTAGGCTCAATCTCTAAGTTCCTCTACCACTGCACATACGTTCCTCACCCTCCAAATCACCAAGTTTCTCTAAAACACAGTCCTGACAGTCTTCTCCAAGTTGTCACTGACCCCTTCCTATGCTTCCCAAGCCAGTGAGCCTGACATACGTGACTCATTAACATCTGCACTGTAGCCAACGAGCTCCATTCAAATCTGTAAATGTGTCCTGAATGTCAACTATGTTGCAGGAACCGTACTAGGAACAGAAAAGAAAAAGATGTGGCCCTTGCTCTTCAGGAGACCCCAACACAGTGTGGAAGACAAACATAGACACTGAACTCTAATAGAACAAGACAAGCGCTATGTCAGACTGATGAATAAAATAGACAAAACAGAGACGTTGTGACTGCAAAGGATCTCAACAGAGGGCGAGGGAGTAAAGAAAGAGTCTAACATTCACAGGGCTCCTACTACATGCTAGATATTGTGCTGGGAACTTTAATATTGCACTTAATCTTTACACCAGTCTGAGAGGTAGGTTATTGTTACTGTTTTACAGAAGAGGAAAGAAGGTCCAGAACTGTTCACTAACTTGTTCAGGGTCACACGGCTACTAAATGACAGGTTAGATATGATTTTTAAGTTCATGCTTTTCAATCCACTTCCTCCCTTGCCCAAAACAGTAAGTGTGCTGCCTATTGTAAACATGGTTGTATCTTCCCTAAACTATACCCAAATTCCTCATTTTTAAAAACGGCTGCTGCAAATATTTTGTCTTCCCTTCACCCGATTTATAGACTGTCTAAACCTAAATACATATCAAGCTTCAGTGACCTCAACTTCTTCCTACCCTGACTCCTTTCTTTTTTTTTTTTTTTTTTTTTTTTGAGATGGAGTCTTGCCCTGTCACCCAGGCTGGAGTGCAGTGGTGTGATCTCGGCTCACTGCAAGCTCTGCCTCCTGGGTTCATGCCATTCTCCTGCCTCAGCCTCCCAAGTAGCTGGGACTACAGGCGCCCGCCACCAGGCCTGGCTAATTTTTTTTTTTTTGTTGGGGTGGGGTTTCATCGTGTTAGCCAGGATGGTCTCGATCTCCTGACCTCGTGATCTGCCCGCCTCGGCCTCCCAAAGTGCTGGGATTACAGGTGTGAGCCACCACGCCTGGCTTCCTTTCCATTTTTAACTAGAATACAAGTCTAATCCCGTCTGTATTGTTGCCTACACTGTATTTCCCTCCTATATAAAATACGCTCTTTTTCCTTCAATCACTTGTCATTAGTCACATTCTCCAGATAGGTCCGCATGTCCCGCCCCACACCACACCTTTGCAGCCTCCATTCTCCTTTTCGTTTCTGAGCCAAGAATCTCTAACTGCTTACCCAGAACTGTAACATAAGCCTTGGTCGAGTCAGGAACAACGTCCACTGGGAGCTCCAGGGAGACAGATTCAGATGCCACCTTTCCTGTGAGAGGCAGAAAAAAAGGTGACACAGTAGAAGATGGGAAATGGCAGGGGTTCTGAAGCCAAAATTGTAGAACTTTCTATAATCCAGGGATTTGTGTGCTCGGTGCTTTCTCTGGGATGCAGAAAGCACTGGGTACTATTCATAGTGATCTTGCTGAAAATAAATTCCACAGAGAGTCATCATCGTGCTGCACACTTTCTCTTCTTCCTCCTGCCTCCCAGTTAATCAGCCCCATGAGGAATGGCACCCCAGACTCTCCTGTTCCTTCTGGTCCTGTGCATTCCTCCTTTTGTCTATGAAAATCTCCTGCTGCCAGATGCGCTGGCTCACGCCTGCAATCCCAGCACTTTGGGAGGCCAAGGTGGGTGGCTCACAAGGTCAGGAGTTCGAGACCAGCCTGGCCAATATGGTGAAACCGTGTCTCTACTAAAAATACAAAAATTAGCCAGGCATGGTGGCATGCACCTATAGTCCCAGCTACTCAGGAGACTGAGGCAAGAGAATTACTTGAACCTGGGAGGCAGAGGTTACAATGAGCTGAGATCGCGCCACCGCAATCCAGCCTGGAGGATGGAGCGAGACTCCATTTCAAAAAAGAAAGGAAAAGAAAAGAAAAGAAAATCTCCTGCCCTCTAAGGGAATTCTCACCACCAATCCTGCTCTGAGTCCACCCACCTTTTGGGCACAGCAATGAGCTGTGTGTCTTCTCCACAAGGACTCCTTCAGGCTGGCATGAAGAGAGACACAGATAAAAACAACTAAGATGAACGTCAGGAGAGATGGCACTAAAGGAAAGGGAAGGGAGGCCCCCCGCTGTGTCCCCAGGGCTTCCCTCAGAACTGCAGAGAAGGGCTTCTCATTGAAGCTCAGAAGAACTCCGTGTCAACCAAGGATGGGCCCTTTCTGTAAAGTTCTTTCTGGGCAAGCGCTAGAGCCAAAGACACAATTAGGCAACTTCTAAGGGGCAAGATTGACAATGGGCTTCATGACGGGACAAAAAAAGGCAGCTATTGATGAAGACAGACATTTTAATCAGGGAAACTAACATTCATTGAGTGCCTATGATGTGCCAGGTTTTAGGTGCTTTCATAGGCCATGGGTGTGGATTAGGCAAATGTTCAAGGGGCCAGGGAAGGAGAAAGTTGAAGCTGCCCGACTGGTTGCTGTGAGAGACAAACTCGCAGCAAGAGGAGATGTTGAGCATCCCTCAGTTGGTTGCTGTCTCGACCTCTGAAGCAAACTCACTTTGACGAGAACTGGCTTGATGAGCGTGTCACTCCGGCCCTTTTGGGGAACAAACCCCTTCTGGCCCCCACATGGTTCATTGCTGTCCAGAATCTTTGTACTAATAGTAAAGTTAATGTGACCTGAGAGAAAGAAGGAGAAGGGAAGCCATTAGCCCTATTGCCAGAGGTACCAGCGAGGTCCGTTCCCATTTGGATCAGCATTTCTGAAACTTTAATGGGGATCTTGCTACAGTGCAAACTCTGCTGCCACAGACCTGGGGTGGAGCCTGCATCCTGCATTTCTAACAAGCTCCCAGGTGATGCCAGAGAGGCTAGTCCGGTGTGGTAAGTAACCTCTAAGGACCCTCAGAGATCCTTGCATCCTGATATTTGCATCCCATTGAGTGTGGGCTGGATTGAGCGACTCACTTCTGTTAAATAGAACAGGGCGAAAGTAATGACTCTTCTGAGATTAGGTTACAAAAAGACTGCAGCTTCCATCTTGGGTGCACCCCTTTTCTCAAACTGCTTGCTCTGGGGAAGACGGCTGTTGTGTGAGGACGCAGCCCAGCGGAGAGATTCATGTGATGAGATACTGAGTGAGGCCCCTAGCCAACAGCTGAGGTCAAGAACTGTGTCCTTCAGTCTAGCAGGCTGTGAGGATCAGAGACTTTGGGATGAGCTTGAAAAATCAATCCTCTCCTAGTCAAGTCTTCAGTTGAAACCACAGCCCTCACTGACAGCTTGAGTGCAACCTCATGAGACACCTTGAGCCAGAAGTACCCAGCTAAGCTGCACCCAGATTAATGACCCGTAGAATCTGTTTGATAATAAATGTTTGTCCTTTTAAGACACTTAAGTTTTACAATAATTTGTCAAGCAGCATGAGATAACTCATACATACGAAGATCAAACTTTGAGTTGCAAGGATTTCACCTGTGAGTGACTGACATCCCATAGAGTTGGGGGTGAGGATTAAATGAGTTAAAGGTGAGGTGACTCATTCTTGTAATCCCAGTACTTTGGGAGGGTGAGGCAGGAGAATCGCTTCAACCCAGGAGTTGGAGAGCAGCCTGGGACACATAGCAAGACCCCTTCTCTGCCAATTGAATTAGCCAGGCATGGTGGTGAAATGATCCTACAGTCCCAGCTACTCTGGGAGGCCTAGGTGAGAGGATCACTTGAGCCGGGGAGGTTGAGGCTGCAGTGAGCCATGACCACACCACTGTATTCCAGCTTAGGTGACAGAGTAAAATCCTGTCTCTCTAAAGAAAATAAAAGGCCAGGTGCAGTAGCTCACACCTGTAATCCCAGAACTTTGGGAGGCCGAGGCAAGCAGGTCACCTGAGGTCAGGAGTTTGAGACCAGCCTGGCCAACATGGCAAAACCCCATCTCTACTAAAAATACAAAAATTAGCCAGGTGGTGGCACGAAACTGTAATCCAGCTACTTGGGAGGCTTGGCAGGAGAATCACTTGAACCTGGGAGGTGGAGGTTGCAGTAAGCCCAGATTGTGCCATTGCACACCAGCCTGGGTAACAGAGTGAGACTTCCTCTCAAAAACAAATAAATAAAAATTAATTAGTCAATCAATTTAATGAGTTAATATACATAAAGCAGTTAGAATAGTGCCTGGCCCAGGGACTCTTATAGTAAGTTCTTGATTAGTTACATGACCATGTATTCCTTGTCCAGCTACAAATATTAAAAGCTCTCCCTTTCACACTCAAAATATTCCTGTTTGAATAAATTTGGTCACCTATCAAAGAGTGTTTGTGTATTGACTTATAACAGCCTTAGGAGGGAGAAAAATAGAGGTAAATAAAACAAAGAGGGAGGAGGAAGCAAGGCAGATGTGGCAGAGAAGAAAGACTGAGTGCTTAGTCACTGGGCTTCTGTTGCAGGCTTTCCTCGCCCATCTACCGCTTCCCTCTCTTACCCAATTTGACAGCTGTGATGTTCCAGTGATAGGTTTTAGCTTCATTAGCACAGAGACAGCTGGAGATCTGAGAATCTGCCCGTGATTCTAGCTGGTACTCATGCGATTTAGCCAGGTCAGTCTGAACCTAAGGAGGAGGTTTAAGAGACAAAGGGTCCAAACGAAGGACGTAATACATGGAGGCCTGGGAAACCTGGGGGCCCAGATACTGACATCTCCTCTCTTTCCCAGGGAAAATTGGGATGCTTCCAATTTAGAGACAAACTTATGCGGGAAGCGTGATTCCGGGGCTGACACCTGACTCCTGTATCCCCAGCTCTCACCCTGATGCAATCCTTTAGGTAATTGAAGATGGTGGCAGTAAGACGAAAGGATTCTCCACGGACTACTGAGTAAGGGAGAGTCAGGTCCACAAAGAATGGCTTGAAAGCAGTTAGTCCGACAGTGGGTGAAAGCCCGAAGCCTCTGGACGGGGAAGTGCAGAAAGTCATCGCCTTCCACTCGGTGATGGCGTCAGGAACTGTGACGTGGACCGCCTCCTTCCCGGAGTTACTGTGAGAACACAAGGACCCCCGTGAGGCAGACGCAGCGTGGGGCGAGAACTGTTGTGAAGTAAGCCACAAATTCGGTGGTGTGTGCTGGTTCATGCTTGTAATCCCAGGTCTCTGAGAGGCTGAGGTGAGCAGATGGCTTCAGCCCAGCAGTTTGAGGCCAGCCTGGGAAACATAGCGAGACCCTCTTTCTACCAAAATTTAAAAATTAGCCAGGTGTGGTGGTGCATGCCTGTAGCCCCAGCTACTTAGGAGGCTGAGGCAGGAGGATGGCTTGAGCCCAGGAGTTTGAGGCTGCAGTGAGCTATGATTGCGTCACTGCACTCCAGCCTGGGTGACAGGGCAAGACCCTGTCCAAAAAAAAAAAAGCTACACATTCATCTGCAGAAGTAAAATTGTTACTGTTGTTGTGTGGGGAGAAGTAAAGAGGCAACTGAAGAGGTGAGTCTCAGTGTGAATCCTCCAGTGAGTGAGGCTGCACTCATATGGAGGAGGGGGACTGTGTGGGGAGTCAGGGGTGGGCATCTCTGTGCAAGCACATCTGACAGAGAGGCTGGTGTCCTCTGAGTCTGTGAGGATGCGTGTTCTCAGGGCTTGTCAAAATGGACAATGGACATGCAAGCAGTGGGCAAAAACTGATGTCAATATGTACCTTCAAATGTGTGTGGTTCGGTAGTAAGAACACAGGGCCTGCAATGCATGAGTGTGGAATTGTGTGGATTTGTTTTGAGTGGTTGTATATGAACGCATAAGAATTCAGGTAGGCTGGGCACGGTGGCTCACACCTGTAATCCCAACATTTTGGGAGGCCAAGGCGGGTGGATCACTTGAGCCCAGAAGTTCGAGACCAGCCTGGCCAACATGGCAAAACCCTGCCTCTACTAAAAATACAAAAATTAGCCAGGTGTGCTGGCAGGCGCCTATAGTCCCAGCTACTTGGGAGGCTGAGGCACAAGAATCACTTGAACCTAGGAGGTTGAGGCCTACAGTGAGCCAAAATCGTGCCACTGCACTCCAGCCTGGGTGACAGAGCAAGACTCTGTCTCAAAAAAAAATAAATAAATAAATAAATAAATTCCCACACCCCATCAAGCTTTCGTTGCTTAAGACTTAGAGCCATTAGGAATGCATCTGATTCTGAGTTTTGTACAGGCTCTACGTTGTAGAATCTTACGTTTTTTTCTGGTTGTTGTTGTTGTTACAGGGTTTTGCTTTGTCACCCAGGCTGGAGTGCAGTGATGTGATCTTGCTTCACTGCAGCCTCCACCTCCCAGACTCAAGTGATCCTTCCACTTCAGCCTCCCGAGTAGGATACAACTACCACCTGGCTAATTTTTAAAATTTCTTTTGTAGAGACAGAAGCTCATTATGTTGCCCAGGCTGGTCTTGAACTCCTGGTCTCAAGTGATCCTCTCTCCTCAACCTCCCAAAGTGCTGGGATTACAGGCGTGAGCCATGGACCTGGCCCTTTACTGTACTTTTGAGTCATCACTTACCCAATAGGAAACAGATCCCAGAGCCAGGTCTCCGGGAAGTACTGGCGGACCTGAGAATCCTCTGCTTGACGTGAAGAAGTTGATGACGCAAAAGCCTCTGGATGACCACCACCTGCTGATGAAATTGAGAATATGAAAACTTTAGGAAACAGGAGACTTGTTGTGACATAAATTGGGATGGAGGGATTACTAGAAAGAAATTTAGAGGGAAGCAGAGAAAATCCAGTCAGAGGCAAGGAGGAAGGACCAAAGAGGAACTAACTAGTCACAAAGGTCATCGAGGGAAGTGATAGCCAAGGGGGTTTGGCCAGGGAATTGATACATAAGCTTCAGGCTTCAAAAGCTCTCCCCAGAGACAGAACCCTTGGGAAACTTCCTGTATCTGTGACCCACAACCCATTAGCATTCTCAGGCTAGAGGCTCAGTGCAAGAACAGGACGCAAAGAGGAAATGTGCAGAGTTCCAGGATTGTTAACATCTCAGAGAATCCACACACCACAGAGGTAGCTTACCGCCCATGGCAGTGCTGTATTCTGGAGCTCTGTAGCTGCAATCTACTGGTTTCTTGATTTTGGCATTGGACAGTATTTTCAGGCCCATGTCCTGACAGGCATCAGAGAAATAAGTATTAAGGTGGTCCCTTCCCCAACTACAAAGGCTACTGCCCAGGAATTCCACCATCAAAGAGTAGAAACAAAACATTCTTTTTGAATTAATGGTGAAACTGGGTGTTCTTACCCAAAACTCAGCCACTGAGACTGGTTGGCTTCTGTTCCAACTAGCATGGGAGGCTTCAAGTTAAACTTATTTCATCATTACATACATTTAATGGTTCTTCCAAATATTATTCACTGTGTCCTTATTATTTGACTTACGCTCTGAACGTGCTGAGGGTAGGGACCATATCAGTGTACTCAATTCAACAAAAGTACAATGAGCATTATGAGGGGTCAGGCATTAGAGAGAGTACAAAGATGAATAAGACCTAGTTCCTGACCTCAGGGACCTCCTGGTCAGACTTGGGTCACACAGCATCCCAAATCCTGCTCATAGAATAGGTGCAAATTATTTTTTATAATAATAGTAAGAGATCTCTGGTCTACCTTCCCTAATTTTCCCTCCTGATTGATCTCATGAAAATCAGTGATTGGGGACAACAAAAGAGGAAGACTAGGTCTAAACTCTCTCACAGTGGTTCTCTTCAATGCAATTGGACATCTTCTTCAAGCGTAAGAGCCAACAGAGGCCACCTTACACGTCAGAAGCTTCTTTCAAGATTTGGTTCCCATCAGTGCCCATATGAGTCTCTCTGCTTTCTTAGATATGAACTTTCCTTTGCCCCTTCTCACCACCATCTTTCCCATAAGAACAAAATGGGTAAGAAGACGTACCTGGAAAAAGCTGAAGAGGTCCGTGCCTTCAGAGAACCAGGGCCTCCAGATAGCAGAACGCTGGCTCGAATGCCCTTGGGGCACTGGGTCAATGAGGGGCTGAGGAAAGTCCCATGGGCCAGACACTGGACACTGATCATATTCAGCCACTTGATAGGGGTAGTGGCCATACCAGAATGGAAACATCCCATAGACCTGGGACAAGGGGGGAAAGGAAATAAAGCATTGACATAGTGACATCAGTTGAGAAATTTCTCTCAGATTCTGGTGCTCAGTTTACTACTCCTGTATCATTTCTCTTTATTACTCCAGAATTATTTTTATATTTTTTTGTCATAATTACCTTTCTCACTTTCTAAAACATTAACCTCTATCTCACCTATTTTTTTCATAATCCTATCCCCTATTTCTTCTCTCTCTTGTTTTTTTTTTTTTTTTTTTTTTTTTGGAGATGGAGTCTTGCTCTATCACCCAGGCTGGGGTGCAGTGGGATGATCTCGGCTCACTGCAACCTCCGCCTCCCACATTCAAGCAATTCTCCTGCCTCAGCCTGCTGAGTAGCTGGGATTACAGGTGCCAGCACCACACCCAGCTTTTTTGTATTTTTAGTAGAGACAGGGTTCACCATGTTGGTCAGGCTGGTCTTGAACCCCTGACTTCAGGTGATCCGCCCGCCTCAGCCTCCTAAACTTCTGGATTACAGGCTCATTCTCTTTTCTTATCTCTGCGTTCATACTAACCATGCCTTCTCTTATCCTTTCTTTTTTTTGGTTTTTGTGTTTTTGAGACGAATTTCACTTTGTTGCCAGACTGGAGGGCAGTGACTCGATCTTGCTCACCGCAACTTCCGCCTCCGGTTCAAGTGACTCTCTGCCTCAGCCTCCCAGGATGACAGGCATGCGCCCCATGCCCGGTCGTTTCTTTTTCTTTTTCTTTTTGTTATTTTAGTAGAGACAGAGTTTCTCCATGTTGGCCAGGCTGGTCTCGAACTCCAACCTCAGGTGATCTGCCTGCCTCGGCCTCAAAAAGTGCTGGGATTACAGGCGTGAGCCACCGCACCCAGCCCTCTTACCCTTTCTAACTTCATTTTTACGCCAGTCTTTTTACCACCTTATGGGAGTGCATTATTTCCCTAAGACTTTCTCTCCACTGCCTAAAACCTACTCTTACTGTCTTCTCCATCAACTCCCTCTTCCACTCTGTCCGCAGACAGTTACTCACAGAGCGGTTGCTCAGCTCTCTCTCCGGCCTAAGCAGTAAGGACACTCTCATCCACCGCCCCGGGAGCACACAGGGATCCAGGAGCTGCCTGCAGCTTAGCTCCGCTTCTGCTCCTGGAAGCTGCTGGGAAGGGGAGAAGCCAAGGGAAACCTGGGGAAGGAAAGGTTAACTTGGGGATCAGGTCAGCCTGGAAAGGAGGGGAAACAACATAATTGGGTCATCAGCAAATATGCCCCAGCTACGACATCCAACCCATTCTTTCACTTTTGTACTTATCTTTCTTTGTAAGTCTAACTCTTCAGGACTTGTATGCCATGATGGAGTTGGGAACGACAGCACGCACAGTACAAGGACAGAGAAAGTTTGTAAGACCAAACTAGGAAAACATGTGGAATAACTGTATAGAACATGCGGCTTCCCAGTATGGCTCTTTTTTTTTTTTTTTTTAAATAGAGACAGGGGGCACGCCGTATAATCCCGCACCTTGGGAGGCCAAGGCAGGTGGATGACCTGAGGTCAGGAGTTCCAAGACTAGCTTGGCCACATGGTGAAACCCTGTCCTCTACTGAAAATACAAAAAAAAAATTAGCCAGGCATGGTGGTACATACCTGTAATCCAGCTACTTGGGAGTCTGAGGACAAAGAATCACTGAACACAGGAGGCAGAGGTTGCAGTGGCCGGATTGCCATTGCACTCAGCCTGGGCAACAAGAGCAAAACTCTGTCTCAAAAAAAAAAAAAGAGAGAGAGGACAGGGTCTTGCTCTGCAGCCTTTGAACTCCTGGGCTCACAGCGATATCCTGCTTCAGCCTTCAGACTAGCTGGGACTGCAGGTATGCATCCCACACCCCAGATAATTTTTTTTTTGAGACAGAGTCTCACTCTGTCACTCAGGCTGGAGGTGTAATGGCGTGATCTTGACTCACTGCAACCTCCGTCTCCTGGGTTCATGAAATTCTCGCTGCCTCAGCCTCCCAAGTAGCTGGGATTACAGGCGCCCACCACCATGCTTGGCTAATTTTTGTATTTTTGTAAAGATGGGGTTTCACCATGTTGGCCAGGCTGGCCTTGAACTTGATACATCAGGTGATCCACCCACCTCGGCCTCCCAAAGTGCTGTACACCCAGCTAATTAAAAAGAATTTTTTTTATAGACAGGATCTTGCTGTGTTGTCCAGGTGGTCTTGAACCCATGACCTAAAGAAATCCCTCTGCCTTGGCCTCCAAAGCACTGGATTATTAGGAAGTGACGCCACAGTACATCATCCAGCATTACTTTTTAAGAGAAAAAGTAGGAGAGAGATGGATTTCAACACAAACCCCAAACATTAAAGATATAAATATAATACAACATCCAATGTCAACATTATCTTCTTTCCCTGACCTGTCTTGTCTCCAACCCCAGCACACACAAGATCTTTCTCTGTGCCCAACCTTTGTCTTCACCCTTCTCCGCTACCATTTTACCTGATTGTCAAAGCACATCTCGACTGAGAACTGAATTTTGTCAGCTACAACACCTCCACTGGGGAAAATGGCATAGATCACCAGGGAAGGGTCAGGGGCCAGTCTCGAAGTGAAGGTCAGTGAGAGAGAGAAGGAGCCTTTCAGTCCTGAAAGAGAAGAGGGAATATACAGGGAAATTAGAATGCATGTCCAACCTATCAATGGCGCCTAACCGTAGGCACTTTTCATTGAGCCAGTGCAGGTGGCATGGTGCAAATTACTTCTCATTTTTCTCTTTTCCTGTGATGACTGTTAGTGCTCCAATTCCATTGCTTCTGTGTATAAGAATTGTTTTCTGGCATTTATTTATTTATTTATTTATTTTTGAGACGGAGTCTCGCTCTGTCGCCCAGGCTGGAGTGCTGTGGCCGGATCTCAGCTCACTGCAAGCTCCGCCTCCCGGGTTCACGCCGTTCTCCTGCCTCAGCCTCCTGAGTAGCTGGGACTACAGGCGCCCGCCACCACACCCGGCTAGTTTTTTGTATTTTTTAGTAGAGACAGGGTTTCACCGTGTTAGCCAAGATGGTCTCGATCTCCTGACCTCGTGATCCGCCTGTCTCGGCCTCCCAAAGTGCTGGGATTACAGGCGTGAGCCACCGCGCCCGGCCCTGTTTTCTGGAATTTAAAAATATCCTGTTCACTTCCAGGAAAAGCATGTACACTCACCTTTCTTCTTAGAGTTCAGGTGCTTCTGCCCCTCCATCACCAAACTTCCTTTCCCTATTAACTAAAGAAGAAAAGAAAAGAATCAACCACACACAGAAGTTATGGTAAGTTCACCTTGGACCAACTTCCAGAGCATCTCTGCATCCTTTCATGAGGAGAGGCTCTTTTCGCTGTTCAGAGCCGGGGTCAATTCGCCATGCAGCATCCACTAGCTTGACAAATGCAGGATGCTGCCAACGGGTCCTGGTGGCTCCTCCTGCAGTCGGAGGTCTGGCTGAGAACCACGCAGGTGGATGGGAGGAGTCTGACAGCATAGAAATTGTTCCACACCATAGATAGCCGTCTGCCATTTCTTGAAGATCTCCAAATTTTATTTTCTTATAATCCTTGTAACATAAAGTCAGCGAAAATCTATCCTCATAAGTGTTTTTTAATTACAGCTCAATTTAAAATTCAGTGGAAATAATTTCATCCTAAACTACCCTGAGCCCTTCTGACATTGAACCCTCTAGAGGAGAAATCTCCTCTCCTGACTCCCCGTTCCTGTCCACTCTCACTTGAAACAGAACGCAGTGATCTTGTCTGTAAGCAGCCTCTCATCTCACGCTCCTGCAGGGCTCCGTGGTCGGTTCCTCGGATGCCTGCCCGGCATTAGCCATTCCACATGGCTCGGCCCTAACTTCACGTTTCTCCTACACCTCCCCACACTTCGGTCCTGAAGACAGAGCCCACATTATCACCTGGACTTGTTATTTTCCACCTATCTTTTCTCTTTTCGTTGTATTAGGATGATTTTTTTTTTTTCCACTTAAAGACAACACTGAAACCACAGAAGCTGCTGCAATGATCCAGAGGAGAGAAAGTCTCTCATTGAGAGGAGGAGAAGGGAATAAAGAGGCTCCAAGCCATCAAACCTGAGGTTTCCATTCTACTTCCTGACTGTCACCAAGGTGACCAGGAAAGCTGCTTATCCTTATACAATGCTTTCAGGCTACCAAGTTATGATTTTATTTCCACAATGAGGCTGCTATCGATGTGAATTTTAACCCCATATCATCTATTTGATAATATTGACCAATGGAACACAGAATGAAATGTATCCTGGCTGGGCGCGGTGGCTCACTCCTGTAGTCCCAGCACTTTGCGAGGCCAAGGTGGGTGGATCACCTGAGGTCAGGAGTTCAAGACCAGCCTGACCAACATAGTGAAACCCTGTCTCACATAAATTTAAAAATAAAAAATAAAAAAAATATCCTGAGTCCCATGCCCTCCCCACGCTCCCTCCCAACCACCCACTTTTTTTTTTTTTGTCCTGGCCAGCACTATTTTCTCAGGTAATTCCTCATTTTGTTTTCCCACACAATTTTCCTGGGTTCCTGCTCAGAATCTCTTTTTTCCCCCCAATGCTTTCCATCTCTTACACCTATACTGGGCCATACAGTATCTCATATCTCACATGGGAATATTAAATACTTGAAATGTGCTCAGTCCAAACTGAGATACGCTTTAAGTGTAAAACACATACCGAGTTTCAAAGACTCAGTTGAAGCAAGAATGTAAAATATCTATTAAAACTTTTTATATGGCTTTCATGTTAAAATGTTAGTATTTTGGATATAATGGGTTAAATAAAAAATATATTTAAAATTAATGTCAACTGTTCTTTTTTTAGTGTGGCTTTAAAATTGTTTTTAATTAGATGTGCATCTGCAATTCAGACAGCCTAGGTACCGTCTCTGGCTGGCTCTTCTCATTCTCCTTCCTTCCCAGCATACTTTCACCCACCCCCGTTTCCTGGCCTCACATAGTAGGAGAAGCTGATCTCTTGGTCAGGGCTTGCATCAGCCGGGTCGATGTAATAATCCACCAGCACTTCCTGGGGCTGGCCACATTTCAAGGGGCCGTTGAGCCGGTGGATGCCAAGGAAGCTGTGGGTTGTGTTGTAGAAGGGTCGCAGGTGCAGGTAGGCATTTTGGTAGTAACGTGGCACTTGTTCCGGATTATATACTAAGTCTTCCATTTGAAACTTTCCCTGAGAGTGAAAGAGAGAGAGAGAATTTTAGCATGCACCCCAACCATAGAAACTCCATGGACTTGTTACGGTTTTCAAATAGAGCACTTTCTCTTAAATCTTCACTGCCCGAAAATGGCATGTGGGTATTTCCTTAGCGGTCCAGCCAAGGATGGATAAAGAATCCATAAACGTAGTAGTGTGCAGCAATATTTTGGTATGTAGGAGAGTGACAGAAGGGCTGAATTATAGTTACTAAGTGAGGGGAAATTGTGGGTGATGTATCTTCACAGATACTCCTGGGATAGATGAACATGACTTAGATTATATAGAAATCAAAGATTGTACTTCAGGGATAAGAAAACTAGGTACAGAAGATACTAAGATTGAAAAATAACTATTTTTGAGTAATTGAGTGATGCCTAGAGTAAAGAAATAGTCAAATTAGCCACAAGGCAACTAGTATATGTTTGCTTAAGTCCTGTGGTTTAAGAAACTTTAGGGCTCCTTCGCATTTGCAACCAGGCTCCTTCAACTTTCTGCATCACCTGGTTTTTGTTTGTTTTTTCTCTCCTTCCTTCCTATTCGTTTTTTTGAGATGTAGTCTCCTCCTGTCGCCAGGATGGAGTGCAGTGGACTCTCGGCCTCACTGCAACCTCTTACCTCCCCGGTTCAAGCAATTCTCCTGCTCAGCCCTCCCAAGTACTGGAACTACAGCTCACACACCCACCACACAGACTATCTTTTGTAATTTTAGTAGAAGACAGGGTTCAACATGCGTCTGCGCCAGCTCGTCGATCCACAACCCAACCTCGGTCAAGCCCCCCCCGCCCCGCCGCCTCCGGCCTCCCACAGTGCTGGATTACAGGCTGTAGCCCATTCGCGCCCAGCTATCCTTTGCGTTCTTTTTCTTAAGAGAATCCCTACCCTCCCACATTCGTGTAATCCTTAGGCTCTGGAAATAATTCTGCACCCATCCCCTTGGATCTGGAGAAATGATAACGAGGAATAAAGCATCTCTAATACCTGTGCAACAATTACTGCGTGAACCCAGTTTGTACAGGGAGTAACAGAAAGATAAGCTGAACGCCGCGGAATTCAGTTAGATATCAGAAGAAAACTAAAAAAGAACTCTTATTATTTATTTATTTATTTCTCTTTTATTTTTTGAGACGTCCTCACCTGTCGCCCAGCGCCCTTGGAGAGTGGCGCATCTTAGCTCACTGCACTCTGTCTGCTTACGCTTGTCACCTCCTCTGCTGGCGACTTAGACACTCGCACGCCACTGCCTGCTAATCTCCCTCTCTTGCGTAGAGCGCACCACCGCTTCTCGCACATGTTGGCGGCTGGTCTTGCCACTCTTGCGCCTCCATGCTCTCGCCACTGCCTCTCCAATGCTAGGCACTACACGACCTCGAGCCAACCACACTGCCAGGAATTTAAAAATCTCTAAAGCAAATTGGCCTGATCAGACGCTTCCCCATCCTGTAACCCAGCACTTTCGGGAGCCCAGGTAGCGGCCAGATCACGCTGAGCTGGGAGTCTCGCCGACACCTGACTCAACATGAGAATCCCATCCTACTAACAATACAAAATTACTCTGCCTGAATAACCCCAGCTACTTGGGAGGCTGAAGGCTGGAGCATCGCTTGCACCTGGGCCGGTGCGCGCCTGCGTGACCAGAGATCATGCCATTGCACTCCAGCCCTGGGCACACGCCGCGAACCTCTGTCCTCCCACACCAAACAAAAATAAAACCAAACCACAAAAAAAAAAAACCGAGGTAAAAAGAAAACTGCTTAAAGAGCTATACAT